TCACTTCCTTGAAGAAAAATCTACAAAAGATAATCCTCATCCAACTTTGTTTTTAAAAATCTCTACTAACACTATAGCAACGCCAAAAAAGAGAAAAGTACGTAAAACTTCACGAAACTCAATTATTAATTCTTTAGTTATGAAAGAAACTAATTCAATGTTGACTGTGGTGATTCTGAGTTGAATTTTGTTGTTGCAGATGAAAGAGAAATAGCATCATCTAGTGAATTTCTAGTGTCTGTCCCAATGATGTTCTGCCAGTTGACACGTGAAAATGATGTGCAATTTTTTTTACAGGTTTGGTGAGTACAAAAAATTTTCAGGTGTCTTTAATTATCTCAAACAAAGCTTCTCTTATGACGTATTGGGATGGCAGCAACAAAATTTTGAAATTAAGAAAAAGGTCAAGTTCTGTTGAATTAACAGAAGCAATATTATGTCTCCTGATTATGATGTTGATGTTGAATCATCTATCGAATTTGAATTAGTTTCTTTCATAACTAAAACCTTTTTAGAATTAATAATTGAGTTTTGTGGAAAAAGTACTTTTCTCTTTTATGGTGTTGTTATGGTATTAATAGAGATTTTAAATAAAACAAAGTTGGATCAGGATTATCTTTTGTAGATTTTTTTTCAAGGAAGTGATGTGAACAAACAAAAAAGTTTTTAGGGACAATAAAATCTTTTATACCAGTGCTACCATGATGTATCCATGCATTTCTTCTTTCTTTACATTTTGGTAACTTGTGCATGTCCGGGTATTATTTGTCATTATTACAGACACCAACTATACATTTGCTAAGACTTGGCATTATATTACATATTAGATATTACTTAATAAATGTTTTTATCTTAAAAAAAAAAAAAAGGCAATAAAATATATTAACTAGTTTTAAACTAATAACTATTTTTTTATAATGAGATCAAACAACTCACTGTAATAAAATGTATGCACTAAAGGGAATTGTTGATTTAAAGTTTTCATATGGTATAGTCTGTACCATTTAAATTACTAAAATAGAAACTTTATTTTTCAATATAAACTATATGTGTAATTAAATAAAAAAATGCAAACTTATTTTATATTATAAAATTTAAAACCATAAAAAAAGGTATAATATCACCTTTTTTTTTGGTTTTAAATTGTGAAGATATAATTTCAAGAATAAGTTTCACAGCAGCAAAAGCTCTTGCAACAAGTTTAACATTTTTTCCTTATAATTATAAACCAAGAATTAACTAATAATCTATGAGTTATTTTGAACTTAAATTAAGAAAGTTTTCATACTTTTATATGACATTTTGCATAAAAACGGAAAGTTCAAAGTTCAACTTGCACCCCCAAGAATATTTTTCCAAGATGGCTACGCTAACTCCGAAATCGTCTATTCGCCCCCATCCATCCATCGCCACCCCTGCATATTATTCCATGAAACGTCTTTAATCATAGGATCTCACAATAGTGTACAGCAGAAATAAAAGACAGAAAAAAGTTAATTTTTGTAACATTTTATTTTATTCAAAAATGTTATTTATCGGGAACTATTTCTTAACGTAACATTGTAAACCTTAACGCATACCATTGAAATTTTTATGTAATTGGCGTTTATGGAATGGCGTTCACACCCACGCTGAACCAGATTTTAGTTTGATGAAATGACATAGGGTTGTGTTATACCTTTTTGAAATTGTTAGAACCATACCATTCAGGGAAAGTTAGTGAAAAAAATCATAAAACTAATCTTTAAAAAATATTTGGATTTATAGAGGGGTCAAATAGGGTCTCGGACTTAGGCGCCCCTCTAACTGATATCAAGACCCACCACAGAGGTGCATGCAATTGTTGTACATTTTGTCAAAAAATATGACTAGTCGTTATATGTCCCCCTCTAATGGGTCTTAAAAACAGTCTGAGGGGCGCCAATGCCGAGTACTTTTTTTCTTAAAATTAAAAAGTAAAAAAAAACATTATTTTCAGAAAATATTTATTAAGCATCATTTAAATGTTTTCCATTGAAACTAACTACTGTTTTTTTCAAATACTTTGCATACTTTTGATGGTTATCGGACACTTTGAAACGTTCCCATGCTTCCTTTAGAAATGAGTAGTGAAGAGTTTCCTCCTAAAGAAACCCAATCCAATGTCCTTATCTTTACAAAAAGGACCTACATGTTGAAATATGATGTGTAACTTCACAGTAACTGTTTTTTTTATAATCTTCCACTGATGTCTTTTTCAAATGTTGGCCTTAAATTTACACCAAAATAAGAGTGAACCTTATTCAGAAGCCTGAACGCTTCAGCCAATGGTTTTAATATGACTTGAAACAAGTTATAGTACTTCACCCAATTTTTTAATATTTTTGACAACCATTACCATTATATGACCCATTTCTTATTGATTTAGAAATATTTAAGTCATTTTCGATCTTTTTTAATAGTACTGGATCAGCTAATTTGTTTATTGTTTTAAAGATATGGTTTGTTGCCCCTTCCATCAAACGAAGTTCTGGAGGAGAAAGACGATTAACAACCAGATCACTACCATCACCAATTAAAAGAACTTCATCAATACAGTTAAAATAATCCTTTGCTTTTTTGTATAAATTGAGCGGATCAAATTTTCTTTGATCCGCTCAATTT